CTAAATTTTTTCTTTTATATTTGATCTTTTTGGTAGAAGTAAAAATTTGTGAACAGAACAGAACAGAGCCTTTTAACGCTTACTTACTTGTGTTGCAGGTGTCATAAGTATACATAATACACCTATGTACACATATAACTACCACCCATGCTAGTCATTTTAATAAATCAGTCTTCAACCTACTCTGGTATTATTTACTTCATGGCGCAGTCGGTAGGATATTTTGTATTGGGGGTTTATTAATTACAGTGTTGCCTAGTATTATATAATATATATATATACATATGACATCTTTCTTTTCCCAATAAAGTTAATTTAATTACATTTACAATAATTATTTATACAACATTTACAATTGGTATTAACACAGCAGGAAGGCTAACAATACTTGCTAGAGTGTATAATTTATAGATTTAGCCCGTGCTCAAATATTTTTTTGCAAAAACTAATTTTAACAAAACAAAATATTTTTTTTAAATTTTTGCAAAAAGAAATTAAGAAAAAAACCGAAAATAACCTAAAAACCGTTTTAAATTTAAAGGGTTCGGTTACGGTTACGGTCCGGTTTTCTGTCCAAAAACGGTCCGGTCCGGGTCCCTGGTTACAATAAAGTCATTATGAACGCAAAATAGATAAAATGAAAAGAATTGAAAAAAACAGCGGTTCTCAAATAATTTAAAGAAAACTAAATATCTGTCAAAAACAAAAATCGTTATAACTTCATAATTCCTGGAAAAATACACATTTATCAACATTTTCATCCAATTTGAGATTTTGGGTTTTGAAAGGTGATTAGTTTATTTAAATATTTTGAGAACAGCTGAGATTTTTTTTTTGTAATTAGGCAACTTTTCTCTAATCTTACGGACCTTATACCTCTTTAAATAAAAAAAATACCCATATAGTATACACATGTGCATATATGCATATGCATAGAAGCATACTTGGTATATAGGTACAGTGTGTCGCACTTAAGATAAAGACACCCCCATATTTTCGGCATTTGAAGGAATACAGATTTGAATTTTTGCACAGTCATACATATTTTTTAAGATACTCAACTGAAATCTGAACTTTAAACTCAGCCTACTACGAATTCACAAACAGGACCAATAATCGATATTTAGCTTCGCGTTAAAGATATCGAAAAAAATTATTGGAAAAAGTTGTTCAGAATAGCGAGTATCTTAAAAAATGTGACCCATCAATATGTATGACCGTGCAAAAATTCAAATCTGTATTCCTTCAAATAGGGAAAATATAGGGGTGTCTTCATTTTAAATGTGACACCCTGTATAGTATAGTATATTTTATTTTTTTTATATTTATCAACAATAAAGTTGAATACTACAGTGTATTGAATCTAATCAATTAAGTGCAGGCGCGCATCCAGGGTATCGTTAATGGGGTGGCAATTTTTGTGTGATTTTACCTAGATATCTTCCAGAAAATTCGTTCTAAACAAAAAAGATGATAACATTTTTGTTATCCTCGGTTTTTCTGTCTATTCATTGTTTTAACAATTATCTCTATAGAAACTATTTGTCAGATAAACTAACTGAAACTTAACCAGAGATTAATAAATCGGCGATTAGAAAAAAAATTAAATTGATCAAAATAAAATGCTGCGTTCGTTGCCACCCCCTGTATCCGCGCCTGATTATGTGTTTAAACCAGTATATTTTTACCGCGAATGATTTAATTATTAATTTAAAATTAAATTAAATAGTAAATGTAATTTTTTATTGTACTTATATTAATAAATAATGAAAGAATCAGCGAAGATTTTTATTTTAAAATTGATATTGCCATCTACTGCTGAAATCCAAAGAGATTTTACCTTGTCAATTTATTTTGCCCTATATTATACTGGGGAACACTGTGTTGAGTTTTTGCTTTAATTTTAAAATATTTATTTGATGAAGTAGATTTTTTAACATTTTAACAGAATCCATAAATTCCTATATTAAAAACAAATATGATTACCCTTTAGTAGGGCCATTACTCATTTTAAAAATACCTTGTTTACTTATATAGATGTGTCCCAGAAAAATATGTTATTCTATAGAAAATTAAAAAAATATAGAGCCCTTGAAGAGTTAATTAAACCATCACCATATTACTTATATTTTTCCTAAAAAATTTCAACGATAAATAAATATGCATAAAATTTTAAAATTTGTCTATTTTAAACGGGTTTAAAAATAATTTAAGTAATTGAATAATAAAAATTAAATAAATGCAAAAAATATCATTAGCACTAAAACAGGTCCCTTTTTTAAAATAAACAAACATTTTTAAATTGGTTAAAAATGATCTGTTCTATATATAAATACATAAATATATTATTAAACATACAGAGACATAACCACTGAAGAATTAGCTATAATTATGCAATGTGTTAAAAAGGTTTTAGTCTGATAGGGAAGAAGATCCATAACCTTAAACTACCCTTATGATTAGATACCCCACTAAATACTTTTCTGTGATTTTTTTTTCACTGTGCCTATAGAATATCATTAAAAATTTAAGAAAGAAGAATTGAAAATACAAAATAAATGAGAAGGAGTTATAGAGTTACTTAACCAACACCATAATATTCTTGGTAAAATTAAGTTAGACAGTAATCCCGCCAAAATAAAAATATTAATATTTACCTTTGGACTAATTTATTTTACTACGTGGTAAAAATTCGCGGGTATATGGTGTACCTAGTTACGCTATTGAAGTGGGTTCAATTAATTCGCATATCCTATTTTTGTTTGATAAAGTATACTTATTTTAAGTTATAAATAAGTATAGACACAACATTTTTTTGAAACATTAGTATTTAAAGCCGCCTATTTGTTTAAAAATAATAGATATGTAACGTGAAAAAAACATTCGTTTTTTTGTTTTTCTTTTTTTCCTGTTTTTTTTTTTAAATGTTTTTTATACTTTAAAGAATTCTTTTATTAATCAAATCAAGCATAGTTTTGTCGTTTTTGTGGATGTTGAATCACTAGATTAAAGTCATTAAAATTTAAAATTTTAGGAAAATGATTTTATAATTAAATAATATTTATACTAATAATGTTTTTTTCCACTCATTTTATTTGTTAGGTACATATAGGTACCAAAAACAATATAAATACCTTCATATCTTTAAAAATATTGATTTTAAACTTCAACAAAAAATGTATTTATAAATGTATACATTTTTCTCTAAAGTCAACTAAACAGCAAAAAAACATTAATTTTTCAATGGAAAAAGAAGACGTTGTTCCAGTTTTAAAATTATAGTTAACAGCTCAAAATGGACCGAAAAGTGTTAATTATAATTATAGTTTTTTTAAACGCTATAATAATTTACAATATTTTTATATCTGTATATAATTTTATATTATGTAGCAAGTTTTATAATCGCCATTTTAATTGCGAGTTTTATTATGCACGATATATATAAAAAAACCCGTGACCAAAATGCCCAAAAACCACTATTGGAACTTCAGCTCGTGACTAACACGCTATAAAGTCACAGCTTATGAATGTGGTAGTAAATAAACGTTTTTTATATCTCAACAAAATTCATAAGTATTATTCCCTGTTGTAAATGACCGATTAATTCCTGTAGAAACCAATTGTAGTATTGGTTGGTATCAATGGGTCTGAATTGGATTTAATTGGGCGCGATATAAAACGGAAATTGGTTTTTACTGGTATTTTCCATGATGGAAAAGTCCAATTAGGATTCTAATGGTTTTTATTGGTTTCGATTGGATAGGTAATTTCCAATTAAATTCAATTGGGCATTTTCAGTGTAAGATTCTAAAAAGGAATCTGCTAATTGGTTATTCCCAATACTTTAAAATATGGAAAAATCCAATTAGGATTCTGTTTTTTAGCGGTTTCGATTGGATAAAGCTACCTATAGGTAATTTCCAATTAAATTCAATTGGGCATTCCCAGTGTAAGATTCGAAAAATCTGCTAATTGGTTATTCCCATACAATACAAATATCGCAAGAGGGCTCTCGTGTAGCTGCGCAAAATCAACGAGGTGCAAACCCCATCATAAAGAAAAAACAACAACAAGTCTTTGGACGCCATTTATTGGCGGTTTTTTTTTATTAGTCGATTTCTGTGTTAAGTGCTTAGTGTTAGTAGTGTACTTATATATTAAAAAAATGTATAATATTGATTTCGACCATGCCTACAAACATCTTTTGCAACAAAGACAAAAAATGATTATAACCAAGTAATTTTATTTATTTTTTTATTACTTTTTTGTGTTAGTAAGTTAAATGTATAAATACGTATCTCAATAACACAAAAAATAATAAAGAATAGTATATTCTGTAACAAGTTTGGAATACAGCATATTCCGCTCGAGTGAAGAGTTTGTCACACGAGCCGAAGGCGAGTTTGACGGTTTCACGAGAGCGGAATATGCAATTCCAAACGTGTTTCAGACTATACTTTTTCTACGTTTCCAAGAAATACCATAGACTAATAATTTAATTAAAAGAAAGTGAGGTTGGATCAGTCTAAAATTTGTTAGATATTAAAAACAGAGATGTCGCCACAAGTGTTCTGTCATCAGATTCATTCATTCTGTAACACTTTACGGAATAAATGTCATTCCATAGATAAAAGTGATATTAGAACGGTCATATTCCATAATAGGAGTAGAAAAATAAAGTTACTCAGTTATAATAATTTGTTTGCCTCTTCTGTAAAAAATGAATTCTGTTTTTTACCCGGTTATTCTTCTGGGATCTTAATTATTTTTGAATAAAAAATCAACTGGTATTTTTAATCCAAATTTAAAAAAATAAATTGGTTCAAATTGGTTTGAATGGGTTTGGCGCTATGAATTACCAATTCATTCCAGGTGCATTTCTATTGGATTTAGCCAATAGAGACAAGCATAGGCATGGATTGGTATTTCCCAATCCAAGCCGCTGACTTCATTGAAAATTACCAATAGGAATTCAACTGGAATGAATTGGTGATTCATAGCGCCAAAACACATTTTAAACCAATTCAAACCAATTACTTATTTTTTATTGGATTCTATAGGTCATTTACAATAGGGATAATAAAAAAATTTACAAGTTCAAACAAATTTTGATAATTTTTAAAACATAACTTTAATTTCAAAAGTTAAGACTGGTGTTAACCAAAATTTTGGCCCATGCAGCAACAATCTGGGTTTAACCTGTATGAATTGACCTAAATGGCATCATGGCTATATTCATATAATATTTTAACTTGTTGAATAATTTAAAAGGGAATTCCCTTAAGGACTATTTTTATAATATCAAACGCATTTTACTCGTTGAGTAATTTAAAAGGGAAGGTTAGATTGTTTAAATATTTATCTTTATAAATTATAAATATATATAACATTAAACTACGTGTACCTCAGTAAGTTCCACCTTTTTGCTATCCCTTAGCTTAAACATTATTTCTGGACCAACAAGTTTTAAAGCCCTAAAAATATTTATGCATTAATAAAATAAAGGCCATATGGCAAACCAAAAATACGAATAAAATAAAATTAAAACCAAAACACTCAGGTGAGGTTACTTTTGCCAAGGATACTTTTATATTCATTTTTGTATTTATAACATAATGTTAATGAATTTGAGAAGTGTAAATTATTAAGTACCTACCTAATATTGTAGGAAATTAAATTCCCAACATATATAACTTTTAATACTTTTTTATTCTGTAAAGGGTACGAAAATGTTAATTAACTTTTCAATTGTGTGGATATTATTTCACACACTTTATAAGGTTTCCCCACACTCAGTTTTTGGCTCATTATTTCTGAATGTACTTACGTATTGAATATAATAGGAAAATAAACTGATATATATGTAAATGGCATAAGAGGAAAAAGTCCCATCCACGACTCTCCAAGTTTATTAGCTAACGCTATAGCTGACAAATCTCCGCATCTTTGAGCCGTCATTCGGCGGTCAGTGGGTTGTGTGGTTTTGTCATATTTCTGAAAATTTGATTTAAAATGTTAGTTTGTTCATTGTGTTCATTCACCGTAAATAGGGTAATTCGTTTTGAAGGAACATTTATTTTTTCCATGAAAGTAACATAGGGTTAAGGATGTTTTTTTTTTTAATTTTCTATAGCTTGGCGACATTTTACGTCACTTACTTGGGTGCTCTTTTCAAGGATTTGCAACAGTTTTACTAGATTTCATGTATTTAGACTAGAGATTCAAAATTTCCGGAAAAATTGAGTGTCGGAAAAAAACCCTGTTTTTTTCCTGGAAAAATTGGAAAAAAACGGAAATTTTGGGAAAAATTGATATTTTCTTAAAAACTAAAAAAATTGTTTAAATATTTTTTATAATATTTATAAATTATTTTGATTAAAAAATTCCCGTTATGTATAGGCGCCCCCCGGGGGAGGCACCTGTAGGGTCATGCTTTTTAACGATGAAAAAAGCCTAGTTGCCTAGTTGCCGACGGCCGTAATTCACATTAAAATCATTGTTGTATAGGTAACTATTCAAAATACACTAACCCAGGAGTTAGTAGCATATTCAATGATTTTAACATCACAATGGCAACCCTGCCCGATCAGCTGATTAGGAACCGACACGTCGGACCGATCGTCCTTCGTTTACAGCGTTACGGTAAGCATAAAAACATTTATCTTGTATTAAATATACTTTTTTTATTGTACCCACAATACACAATGGTATGCTTTTTGCTCAAAGCACAGACTTCTGTACTACTGCAAAAATATATTTATTTAATTTCCACTCATTAATACATAAATTATATCAAATCAAAATACTTTTTAGATTTTCGTTTTTTTTTTAATATTTTTTCAATTTTTCCGTTTTTCAATTTTTCCAAGGCTCGGGAAAAAAACGGAAAAAAACACTGTTTTTTTTCCAATTTTTCCTGTTTTTTTCCGAACCTTTAAATCTCTAATTTAGACCTGTATTTAGTCGTATTTTTAATAAAATCAGTATTTTTTGCATTTTACGGCAAAACGGTTAAAGTTCCAGGTAAAAAAAATAATAAGATTTGTATAGGAAATTCGATTTCCTATAAAAAAGGTTCCTTGCAATAATGTAATAAAATTTATAGTTTAAAAGATGTAGAGCATTTCACAAATTTTAGTGTAGAATATAGATAAACTAGTTAGTCCTATGTTGTTTTACTGAAAAACGGTTAAAGTAAGTAAGTAAAATAAGAAATAGAAAAAGAAAATAAGGAATAGAAAAACTTTTATAGAAAATTCAAGTAGTTTGCATTAATACAATAAAATGCATACTTTAAAAGATATAGAGCATTTCATAAATTGTTTTGTCAAACATTGATAAATTAAACAAAACTATTATGAACTTCAATTTTCTACAAAAATAGTTATTGATTAATGCAATAAAATGCATAGTTTAAAGGATATAAAGCATTTCAAAAATTTCATTGTCTAATATTGATAAACTAATAATTATTATTAAATAATAATTATTAGTCCTATGTCGTTTTACGTCTTTTATAGGAAAATTAATTTCCTACAAAAATAGTTTTAATGTATTAATGCACGGCGTACTCTACCGGAGGCGGGAGTGTAGCCCCCACTCCTGCATCGAAAGTGTGAGGCAGGAGGCCAATCTGATCAACGAGCGCCTATTGTATTACATTGCTTTAAAACAAAAGTTATGGTTTATTATTGCTTTTAAGAAGTAATTTTTATTGTAGCGGTTGACAAAGCATGAGTACATATTCAATTAAAATCAACAGAAAAATATGAACTAGGTAATTTATTGAAAACAAACAGAGAACTGTTTTTTATAATGGGCAAAGAATTTTTGAGGTACATTATTTTACCGTTATAGTCACTTTAAGTAACTTTACTATTTTAGTACCTAAAATAGCATGGAAAATATCGCCTAGTGAGAAAACAATGTCCTTAAAATAGTTCGCATCTATATATATATATTATATATATTATATGAAATAAGAGTTTCGAAATGCGAATATTCGTATTTCGCATCTATATGAAATCGACTATGGGGTAATTTAAAAAATCTACCGGTTTTTAGTTATAATATCGAAAAATTAGTTGCTGCAGCCCATGGGCACTTCAAAAAAGCTTATTACCTCAAAAAAGCCTATCTACTTATAAGCTCTTACTATTAAGGGTAATACAAAAACATATGGTATCTCACTATTAAATGAATATAAAGCCAAGCCCAATACATATTTTAATAGAGAATAAAATGCTCTTCAAAAAATATGTTCCATGGTTTTTACGAAAACCTATACATTTAAAAGATCAAAGTTTAAAAAGTTTTGAAAAAGAAATATTTTTTTTTTTAATTTTATAACTTATGTAGGTAGTGGAATTTTGAAATGAGTACATATTATGTATATTTTTGTTGAAAAAAAGTTTTCTTTTGTTTTAAAAAAAAATATGTTTTTTTTTTCAAAATTATATAACATATATTTTTTGTACGTAAAAATGGAAAATTGCGATGAGGAGGATCTTACTATTAATATTAAGAGCTCATATGTAGATGGGCTTTTTTGAGGTGTCCAGCAACCATTTTTTCGGTATCAGAAGTAAAAAAAAAGGAATAGTAGATTTTTTGGTATATACCAGAGAAATTCAACACGCAAAGTAAACTTGGAGTGTAGGTACTCTTGCGAGTTATCAAACGCGCTCCTGGGGTGTGAATCTGACGAAAGTACAGGATAATATTAAATTCAAATTAACTTTTTAATAGATAGTGTATGCTTATTGAAAATTATTTTAACAAATTTAACCAATTTCCTGTTTTTATAAAAAGAGGAAATTGGTTAAATTTGTTAATATATATATATATATATATATATATATATATATATGGGTAAAAATCAAAAAATGTTTAGGTAGGCGTCTTTGGCTAATTAAAAATTAGAAAAAGAAGTGAAGTGTCTCAAAACTTATTAGTATTATTTCTGCATGTTAATTATACGAGATTTATATTAAATATTTACCCAGATTTAAAAACATCGATTAAAAAGAAAAACAAAGAGCTATTTTGTCTCGTCGGTAACGCGTCCCTTATTACGTTTTACAATTTTACGCTAGATTTTCCAATCAAATCATTTTTAAAAACAGGACAAATGTAAATCACTTTAAAGAAACTAACACCAAGTATTAAATAAATTACATTTTATTTAAAAACAATTTGGTTTTAAAGATCCAGCCTTTGGGTAACAGACTGTCTGCTTTGATCGCATCCTGTCGGTAACGATAACTGTAATTTCACCTAAAATCCGCCAGGATACGTAATACCTGTCATTTGTTGGTTAGTGTGCTAGAGTTAGTGTTTATGTGTCATTCAAACCAGGTAAGTTTTTCTGTTTATGCATTAAAAAAATATATTTAGGCTTGTTTGCATAAAAACGCTACCGTATTTTTTTACGATGTCTAATCGGTAACTGTTCTAGCGGTAAAATTTTGATGTCGATATGAGATTTGTTACATTTTTCTGATGTATAACACCAATATTTGCAATTTTGATTATAATGGTATTTACCATAAGTATTTTTTTAAACATATATGTATATAAATATATATATTTTGATTATTATTCCATTTACAGAACCTTTATTCCCGACAAACTATACTGTTACCGACTAGACATAATTGAGATCAGAAGACAACAATTATCAACATAACAAAAAACTACCTTTCCTTGATCTCAAAGATAAGCTTTATTATGTTGCGAAATCTTTATTTTAGAATATTAAAAAGTTTAATGGACAAAAAGCAACATTTTAGTTTTTTAATTGTTGTAGGTCGTTTTCCAAAGATTTTTTGATTTTCACCCATATATATATATATATATATATATATATAAAATATATTGTGAATACTGCAGAGAAGTTTAACTTCTACAGCGTGTTGTACGACGTTTTTTCTTTTGTTAACTTATAGATGTGATAAGCTCCAAATAAAGGTATAGCCTAGTGGAGCAAGATTTTTTGAAAAGAGCATTGAATTTTTTATATAATATAAAGTATTTTGCCATCCTAACCTCAAAAAAACTGAAATCTGGTATACCTATATCTCGGAATTAGAAAAGTGGGTTTATTGCTAAAATTTTAAAATAAGAATGGTAAAGGCATGGCTTACAAACACCACTACAGACGGTGTCTTTGTTATCAGTTCGAATATTATGCTTATTATTTTTTTGTTAGAATTCTCATTGCAAAAAACAATCTTGAGATATTATTTATATTATTTAATATACACTGCTCAAATAAATTGGAAAAACGTGTTTTTTAAAGATTCTCATTTTTTTATTAAATGACCAATCAAAATTTTTCTTGTGGGGATTTATTCATTAAAAAATTATTTTTAAACAGCAAACAAAAATGTATTCTAAATCTACTCAATTCTCATTTAAAAGACTAAATGTAACAACAGTTACGTGTTCCAAGGCCATTAACCAAATTTAAAAAAGTTTGATGGAAGAAGTCATTTTTGAATGTTGATATTTCTGGTGTATAAACCAGGCAGGGGCGTAGCTACCGCGGTATCAGCCATATCAATGATACGGGGCCCTCGGCTAGGGGGGGGGGCCGATTTGGCTTCGACATGCGTAAGCAAAAACATTTTACCCACATGTTAAAAAAATTGAGGCATGAAATTAAAAAAAAAAATAACATTATTATTATTATTTCATTGTTTATACTTCGATTTATTATTAAAATTTTCCTGAATACCCTCCTGTTCTAACGAGGCCGTGAATGCATTGTCTGCGCATATTGTTCTGTTCTCTGCGCCGCATAATGAGTGCTTTGCGTGTTATTATCATAGGATATATTAATAGCAAATTATAAATAATTATTAGCGTTACAATTATTTCAAATGACTTGCGTTCACTTATAAGTGAATACTATAGTGAATTGGTTAAAGATGGGCGTTTTATGCGCAACTCCAGACAAGTCCATCCGTTATCTGCAGACTTTGGAATCGGTA